TCAGCCCTGGTCCCCAGGGAGGGTGTGGGAGTGACGCAGCTCTGGCCTCCCGCAGAGGCTGGAATCGCATCATCGTGGAGAAGCCCTTCGGGAGGGACCTAGAGAGCTCCAACCGGCTGTCCAACCACATCGCCTCCCTGTTCCGCGAGGACCAGATCTACCGCATCGACCACTACCTGGGCAAGGAGATGGTCCAGAACCTTATGGTGCTGAGGTGCGACCGGGGCCAGGACTGGGCGCTGGGGGGCCCTGCTGCTGCCCCCTCGGACGCCCACCAGCCTTCACCCTGCCCCTCCTGCAGGTTTGCCAACAGGATCTTCGGCCCCATCTGGAACCGGGACAACATCGCCTGCGTCATTCTCACCTTCAAAGAGCCCTTTGGCACTGAGGGTCGTGGGGGCTACTTCGATGAATTTGGGATCATCCGGTGAGAGCCTGGTTCCCCTTCCTGGGAGATCGGGGGGGCGGGCATCCCGCCACCCTGCAGGGTCGCCTCTTCCTGTTTTGGCAGCAGGAGTGTCTGAGCAGTCAGGAATGGTCACGGTCTTCTTCCTTTGCCTTAAGGGGACCTGGCAGACACGGGGGATCAGGAAACAAGCCCAGTTTAAGGCCCTGAGCCCCCAGAACCTGGCCAACAAGGAGAGGCCTTAGCTCACTGTCCGTTCCTTCCTCCCACCAGGGATGTGATGCAGAACCACCTCCTGCAGATGCTGTGTCTGGTGGCCATGGAGAAGCCCGCCTCCACCCACTCGGATGACGTCCGCGATGAGAAGGTGGGTGGAGCTGTGCCCTCCCAGGCCCCTCCCCCTTCTGCAGCAACCAGCCCTGAGCCCGAGGTGTCTTGTCCCAGAACTGATCTTCTAGGCCTCAGCTTCTCCTTCAGAAACAGTGAGGGTGGGCTGAGGTGGCCCCAGAGGGCCCTTGCATGACGGAGCCTCCTGACTATCTGGGCCACTCACCCGTCCAGGAAGGCCACCCCTCGGAGTCACATGGTTCCTGGCACCTGCTGTCCTTGTTACCCAAGGGGCCCCTCTCCCTGGCTCTTCTCCAGGTCAAGGTGTTGAAATGTATCTCAGAGGTGCAGGCGAGCAACGTGGTCCTGGGCCAGTATGTGGGGAACCCCAACGGAGAGGGAGAGGCCACAAAAGGGTACCTGGATGACCCCACAGTGCCCCGGGGGTCCACCACAGCCACCTTTGCGGCCGTCGTCCTCTACGTGGAGAACGAGCGGTGGGATGGTAGGTGATGCCGCTGGGCCCGCGGTGGTGGGACCTGGCCCCCTCATCCACCCGAACGGCCCCCCAAGGCTGGCCTTGTCCCCCCAGGGGTGCCCTTCATCCTGCGCTGTGGCAAAGCCCTGAACGAGCGCAAGGCCGAGGTGCGCCTGCAGTTCCGCGACGTGGCCGGGGACATCTTCCGACAGCAGTGCAAGCGCAACGAGCTGGTGATCCGCGTGCAGCCCAACGAGGCCGTGTACACCAAGATGATGACCAAGAAGCCTGGCATGTTCTTCAACCCCGAGGAGTCGGAGCTGGACCTGACCTACGGCAACAGATACAAGGTGGGTGCCCACCTGTGGGGAGGGGGTGGCGTCCAGGGCTCCAAGGGGCGCGCGCTTCGGTGACTCCCTCCCGCCTGTCCGCTGGCAGAACGTGAAGCTCCCCGACGCCTACGAGCGCCTCATCCTGGACGTCTTCTGTGGGAGCCAGATGCACTTCGTGCGCAGGTGAGGGGTGGCCCCTCCCCCCCTTCCCCACCTCCTTCCCTCTGGGCCACCACCCACCCCATCGCTGCCCCCTGTCCCCTCAGTGACGAGCTGCGGGAGGCCTGGCGGATCTTCACTCCTCTGCTGCACCAGATCGAACTCGAGAAGGCCCAGCCCATCCCCTACGTCTACGGCAGGTGCGGGGGCCGGGCAGGGGGAGGTGATGGGGGTGATGGGGGAGGGGGACTCTGGGGCTCAGGGTTTCCTCATCTCTCCCCCCCCCTGTCCCCCTCCCAGCCGTGGCCCTGTGGAAGCGGACGAGCTGATGAAGAGAGTGGGCTTCCAGTACGAGGGCACCTACAAGTGGGTGAACCCGCACAAGCTCTGACCCTGTGCCGGGCCCACCCCCGCCCCGCCTCTCCGTGCTCCCCCGCCGCCACCACCCCCTCCCCGCCCCCGCCTGACCCACCTCGGGAGGACCCGCCTCTGGAGGACTCGGGACCACAGCCCTTAGCCTCACATTCCCGCCCGGGCTCGGGCCACGCCACCCGCCCCTGGGCCCAGTCTCATTCCTCTGCCACCCAGCACTGTGACCATCCCCACCCGAGCCAGCCTCTGTCCCCCAGACTGAGCCCTCCTGGAGGAAGGAGAAGGAGGGCTGCAGTTGTGGGCAGCAGGGGGGCAAGGTCCTCGGAGCGCAGGGGAAGGGGGCAGGCGCGGCCCAGTCTCAGCGCCACTTGACATTCCTGGTTCCCCACTGGAAGGGACCTCTGTGCTGGAAGGGCCCAGCAGCGCACCTGTGTCGGGCCTCCCGAGTGGCCTTCTGCCCCCCACAGCTCCCGCGGCCACCCTAACTCAGCACTCCACGGCCGCCCCATCTCACCCCGCCCTCAGGTGGTGCCCTCGCCACCAGAAAAGCAGAAGCGGCAGGTGGGATGCCCCGGCTCAGTCCCCTGCCATTAAATCCGCAGACAGGCCTGCCTGTCCCCTGGTTGTTTCTTTCCTGCCACCTGCGACCATGGGCCCCAGCCCTCGCCTCTCCCTGCCACCCACTTCCCTCCACCGCTGGCTTGGGCGGGAACGTGGGTATCCTTCAGTCCTGACCAAGCCCGGCCTTCCCCTCCTCTCTGCCCCGCACCCTAGAACTTCGTCACGAGACCACCTTGGGCACAAGAACAAGTCACGTTCATTTCCCCTTCCCTCCCCAGGCAGTGCCCCTGCCCCAGCCAGGGCACTCAGGAGCACTGCCGGCCCACTGAGGCGACAAGTATTTAGGAAGGAGTGGCTAAGGGATTCGAGAACAGATGCCAAGGGGGAGGGGCAAGTCCAGGGCGCACCCTGGGCACTGTGGAGAGGTGCACAGCTGGCCTCACCAGCCTCCCTTGCCTGTGTTTCCTGGGGCCCCTGTAACAAAGCACCACACGCAGGGAAGCTTAAGGCAACAGAAAGGTATCCTCTCCCAGTGCCGGAGGCCGGCAGGCTGAGCTCCAGGACCAGCGCCCTCCAGGGGCTCAGCTGGCCACGTAGACCCGTCGCTCCGGTCTCTCTGTGTCTTCATGTGACATTCTCCTTCGTGTGTCTGTCTCGCTCTGTTTTCCCTTTACAAGAACACCAGTCATATTAGATCTGGGGCCCAGTCTCCTCCAGGATGACCTCACCTTGATCTGATTACGTCTGCACACACCCCACTTCTGAATAAGAGACACTCCCTGGGCGTCTGTCCTGCCCCTGCCACCGGCTCAGCTCTTCACTGAGCTCCGGGGAGAGCAGCAGGCTGACCCAAACCAAACGAACAGACAAAAGACTCAGATGCTGGTACAGAACGAGCCAGCAGCCCGATGCGTGCCCCAGGCAGGCAGACTCCATGCCTCAGGGCCTCACAGCTGGCAGGGCTCAGGGCTCCTGTGTCGGGGACGCTCTGTGGCAGCGGGGCCAGGCCCTCAGGCCGTTGGCAAGAACCTGGCCCGTGGCTCCTCCCTTCAGCTGGGCCTGTGGCCCGTCTGTCCCCACCCCCACTGTTGAAGGCAACTGTCCAGGGCTTTTCGCTCCCATCACGGAGGCCTCTCCTCAGCCTGACGCTGACAACCAGCTCTCCTTAACCCCCGCACGGCCCCCGGGACTGGGGGCAGAGCTGAGGCTCCCGCCCAGGACTCTGCAGGAACGGTAAGTAGACGAGAAGGAACCCAAGTGGGGGCTGGCCGCCTCCTGTCCCACAAGCTAGGGTGGTGAGTCACAGCCTGCACACAGCTGCATCCTCAGGTGCCATCCCCGCTCTCCCCGACCCCTCCTGTAACCAGAGAACGTGCCGCTTCCATCCAGCTTCTGCAGGAGGGAGACCACAGAGTTCACGTAGACCTAGGTGAACGGGGACGGGGTGGCGGCGGGGGGGGTGCTTTCTGGGACAGGGGCGGCTGGAATCCGGATCCTGCAGTGCCTCCTGGCCCAGGTCCATGCAGAGCAGCTGAGAAAGCCCCACGTGGACAGGACTACAGGCCAGGCTTCAGCCTGGGGGCGGGGGGACGGGCAGTGGCCTTGGTCCTCCCGATGCCTGTGGCCTGGAGAAGGGGCCGTAAGTCGCTCAGGTTCGCCGGGAGCTGATGGTGTGGGCCTAGGGACTCACGCGCCCTCCTGTAACACTTTGGCTCCAGCGTGGCTACAGAGGGTCCTGCCCTTGACTCTCTGTGGTGCAGCCACGTGCCCATGAGGGGCAAATGAGGCTTTGCAAAAGGCCCAGGATGGCACCAGACCCCGAGATGGTGGCCCAGAATGCGGTGGCGCGGGTCCTCGGAGCTGCAGCCTGGCCTTCTGCTAGCCGCCAGGGGCGCTGTGCTGCTCCCGGGGAAGGGACAGCCGCGTCCCCGGCCCAGTCCTGGGACCTCAAACCCTCAAAATCCGGGCCTGAGGATGACCATAAACCTTCGGGATAAAAACCAAATAAACGGAGGTGCAGGGAGCCCTTCCTGACCCCGCTGGGGTCTTGGTGCTCAGAGCCCCCTCACAGAGCCCCACAGACGCCTACAGCCTTTTGGGGGACCCAGTAGAACTGTGTGCTGGGGGTAGTCCTCCCAGGACCCACGCCCCTTGGGGAACCTTCTGGCATGGCGTCACCGAGGGGGACTCTTAGCAACACAGAAGATCCATGTAGGGGCAGGAGCCTGAAGTGGAGGAGGGACCCAGCTCTTCCTGGGCCCCCAAAATGTGATAACCGCCTGTGAGAAGGGAGGGAGGGAGGGAGGGAGGGAGGGAGGGGTGGGGACCCTCCCCTCCCCATCTGTCTGAGTGTCCCCACCATGACAGAGGGCCCAGGTCAGGGCAATCAATGGACACCTCCGATCTGGGTGCTACCCTGTGGCAGTGATGAGAGGGCTCTGGTGAGGATGGTCCACTGTCACCTGACACCGGGTGCCTGTGAGTGACAGAGATGAGAGGCCCGAGAGGGACAGTAGCTGTGATCTCAGCTCTAGGAGCCTGAAATGAGGAAGAAGCATGAGGTCCCGGGTAAGGACGTTCAGCTGTCGCCTCCATTGGGGAGCCGCAAGCATGAGGGACCCCGTGAGGACAGTCACTGGTCACCTCATCTCTGACATAGTCCTTAGGGCCTCGCTGAATTGAGACAAATGTCACAGCTGTGGGGCCCTAGGATGGGGAACAGACACAACGGACTAGTGAGGAAAGACACCTGTCACCTAAGCTCTGGGTGGCAACATTGGCGCTGAGGGCTTTCAACTGGCACTGAATCTCTGCAGTGGGACACAGCAGGAGGGCCCAGGCGAGGACAGCCAACAGTCCCCTTAGCTCTGGGCGCCTACACTGAGTGAGAGGCGTTGGGCCCAGGTTTCAGCGTTCAACTCACATTTAACTGTGGGATGCCTGGACCAGGGCGAGGCTTAGAGGCCCAACCTCAGGTAAAGGCATGACGGGCAGGCAAGGGCACACAGGTAGCCCTTCAGCGATGGCAGCCACCCTGGGGCAGAGACGTGAGGCCCAGCAGGGGGCACTCAAGTGCCACTTCACCTCTGTACAGCTCCACACCACAGAGACGTGAGGGCCCAGGTGAGGTGAGTTGACTACAGGCACAAATCTTGGTAGCTACGCTGGAACGGAGTGAGGGACCATGGAGGTCATCTAACTGTCACCTCAGCTCTGGACTCCTACACTGTGGCAGAGGTGGCCTCAGGTGAGGGCATTCAACTGTCACCGGAGATCTGATTGCCTAATCTAGGGTAGAGGCAAGAGGTCCTGCAATAAGACAGTCGCCCATCACCTCAGCTCTGGGTGCCTACTCGGGGGTAGAGGCGGGAGGTGCCGGCACGGGGGCATGAGCATGCAGGCCCACGTGACCACTGTCAAGTGACAACTCCGTGCTCGGTGTCTACACTGAGAGGGGAACGAGGGATCAGCTGAGCACGCGGGCTCTGGGTGCCTACACTCAGGCAGGGACACGAGGAGCCAAGGAAACAGTGAACTGGTGCCGCAGCTGTGGGAACTACATTCTCTGCCATCTCCCGCTGGGTGCCCGCACTGGGGCAGGGCCATGAGGGTCTATGACAAGAGGGTCTCATGCTCTCCAAGTCCCCATCGAAAAACATTCCTGGAGAAACAAAGCTGCCCCTTGAGGCACAGAAGGCTTGGGATGAGTCCCAGGCCTCTGGCCCTCTCGAGCGTGGTGCCCCTGGGGTTGGTGAATGTGCCTCTGGGCCCTCAGGGGGGCTCATTAAACCAGCCTTTCCAAAATGCCTGCTCTGAGCAAGGTGTAAACACTGTCCTCTAAGAACCAGCCGTCTGGCCGCTGCCCTGTGCCTGGCAGGAGCTTCGTCTACTGGGCACCACGACTGCCAGCATTACAGGGAAGAGCGCTAAGGAGGGCACGGTGCCCAGGGCTTGGTACTCACAGATATGTGAGAGTTTGGCAAATGGTCAGTGCTATTTCTGGTCCCAAATTCCATGACAAAACTCAAATACCAACCCGTGACAGCAGCACAGGGGCCTGAAACTTATCACCTTGATCCTGTTAGGGAGAACGAGGGAGTGTTGTGAATGCCAGTGGAGAAGCTCCTGGATGCTAACCAGAGCTCTGTCACTGCCTGGCTCTATCACCTTTCTCTGTATTCTGGGTTCTTTCCTTAGAAAGGTTTCCAGAAAGCGGTGACATTGGGTCAAAGGGCACGGATGTTTCAGTGGTTCTCACGCCGCCCGGCTGCTGCCGTCCAGAAAGATGGGTCCAGGCGACAGAGGTGGCCCCAGCTCTCCCAGCGCGGGAGGTGATCGGGGTGCCCTGGGCGGTGTCGGGGGCGCCTTTGTGAAGGAGGCTGGAGGAGCAGGCAGGGGTGACAGCGTGTGAGCGCGCTGCCCTCTAGAAAGAAGACGGCGAAAGGGAGGCCGCGGAAGGCTGAGCCTGCTGGCCCCTGGCTCTTCGCATTCTGCTGTTTCCCGTACACGCTTCTGTCCCTCCGGGTTTCGAAAAGGCACACATTTGAACTTTTAAACAATGTCTAATTACGCCCCCAGATCCATCCGCCCCTTCCTAAACTTCAGAAATCCGAGCGCGGGGCACGACCACAGCCCCGCCCTCAAAGCCTGGGAACGCTGGGCTCTCCCTCCTGAACGAAGCCTCAGAGGAGACCTCGGGGGCGGGGCTGAGTAGGGCCCCTCCCCTTGGCAGCCTGGCAGCCCGGCCCCGCGGCTCCGCCGGAGCGTGCGTCAGGGGCGGGGCGGGGCGGGGCGGGGCCGGCCCGGGCCCCTCCCACCCGGTGGCCGGTCGCCCAGCCCCGACCGATGGCGGGGTGGCGCCTGCGGGCCGTGCTACCGCTCTGGGCCGCCATTGCCGGGCCTCTCGCTCCGCGCAGCGGAGCTCCCTCGCCTCGCGTCGCCGAGCAGAGCGGGGCGGCCGGCCTGACGGGGCTGCCCCTGACCGAGCTCGCATCCCCCCACCGCCAGGCAAGTCTCTGGCCGGCCCGGCCCGCGTCGCCGACCTCCAGGCCCGGGGGGCCGTGTGTGGGGACCGAGCTGGGGCCTCCCACTCCCGCGTCCGGGAGAACCACTTCCACTTCCCAGGCCCAGAGGCTCCCGTGGGCACGATCGTGAGCCTCCAGGTTCCCGAGGCCCCTCCGGTCCCAGCCGGGCTTCTCTCCGCCTTCCCGAGGAGCCTGGCCATGTAGTTGGCCGAGCAAGTCGGTGCACCGACCGCGCCCGCCCCACAGCTGGGACCCAGCACGGGCTCATCATCCCTGACCCCCACCCAAACCTGCTCTTCTGCTTTGTTGCCCCCCAGAGCGCACGGTCCACAAACGCTGCACCTGACGGCTGCCCCACCCCAGCGGGAGAAGTGGACATGAGGTTGGCAGGTGGGTGGCTTCCACAGTGAACCGGAGAGAGTTGGAAAGGAGACTTGGCTGGAGGCCCAGGTGTCCAGAGGTCTGTCTGGAAGGGCCAGGGGTGGTGGCACCACTGGGTTTGGGGGGGGGAGGGTTTATACATTTATTTATTTTTTATTTATTTATTTTTGGCTATGTTGGGTCTTCCTTGCGGTGCACGGGCTTCTCATTGCAGTGGCTTCTCTTGTTGCAGAGCACGGGCTCTAGGCACGCGGGCTTCAGGAGTTGTGGCACGTGGGCTCAGTAGTTGTGGCTCGCGGGCTCTAGAGCACAGGCTCAGTAGTTGTGGTGCACGGGCTTAGTCGCTCCGCGGCATGTGGGATCTTCCCGGACCAGGGCTCAAGCCCGTGTCCCCTGCATTGGCAGGCGGATTCTTAACCACTGCGCCACCAGGGAAGTCCCTGGGTTTTGTTTTTGAAACAGAGGACTCTGCACAAACACTCATTCTATGACCTTGAGCAAATCCTTTCACCTCTGAGGACTTCAGTTCCCAGCTCTCTCTTTTCAGCTGTGAGATGAGGATTATAATAGATTTCTCCCAAATGGGATAACTGGCCGCTGTTTGGAAAAAGTTGTGGGAGAGAGCTCCAGGGAGCACGGCGGCTGGGTGGACAGGGAGAGGCAGTGGTCTTAGATGAGAAGCTGACCATAGTGGCCCTGAGGTTGGATGTGAACCCAGTGCCAGCCCTACTGTCGCCTGGACAGCTAAGATGAAGGGGGCTTGGGGGTGGACTTCATACCTTCTAAAATTGAAGCATTTGCATGTACCCCGGGGAAGCTGACCCATGAGGAGCTGGCTGGGAGAGTGGGGCCTCAGGAGTGATAGAATACAGCCAGTGCCCGTGAGGGTTAGTTCAAGGCACCTCTAGGTAGAGTCGAGGCAGGAGGGGAGCCGGAGAGTAGGGTAGAGGCAGAGAGGACACTGGGACAGGAGCTGGGGAAAGTCCAGCTTTTCAGGGGAGGGTCAAGGAGGACGATCTAAGCCAGAAGGACGAGGAGCATCCAGGTGGGGCTCAAGGGCGCCGTCCCAGAAGCCAGCCGAGCAGGGTTTCCGTGGGAGGGCCGCAGCCTGTGCGGCCACCTGAGGGGTCAAGGGACATTAGGGCCAACAGGTAACCCGGGGCGCTGGCATCAAGAAGGTCCCAGGCGGCCTTGGCCGCAAGCCGTCCTGCGGGGGTAATGGAGGCAAGGGCAGAGTGGAGCAGGTTGCGAGACGGGGAGGGAAGTCTGTGGAAGAAGCCAGCACACAGGACTTTGGAGAAGCCGGCAGGGAGAGGAAGGGAGGGTGCAGAGCCCCACCGCTGGCTGCGGATGTGATTCCGAAGGAGGCCTTTCCTCCCGCGGTTTCTGAGGATGGGAGGTGTTGAAAGTAGAGGGGAAAGGGCCTCCCTGGTGGCGCAGTGGTTGAGAGTCCGCCTGCCGATGCAGGGGACACGGGTTCGTGCCCCGGTCCGGGAGGATCCCACATGCCGCGGAGCGGCTGGGCCCGTGAGCCATGGCCGCTGAGCCTGCGCGTCCGGAGCCTGTGCTCCGCAGCGGGAGAGGCCACGACAGTGAGAGGCCGGCGTACCGCAAAAAAAAAAAAACAAAATAGAGGGGAAAGAGGGAGACAAAGTGACCGCTATGCTAAGAAAGCCGAGCAGGGTGGAGAGCTCGGTGCCCAGCTCACAGCAGGAGGACTGCCTGGCCTTCCAAAGGAGTAGGAACCTCCACCGTCACCATCACAGGAGAAAGGAGGGCAGGATGGCAGGGACTCAAAGACATTGGTAGCCTCAGAAGCAGGAGGTTAGGAGGCCCCTCCACACCGCCAGGGAGAGCCAAGCTGAGCCTTGGGGTTGGAGCTCAGCTTCCTCCTTCACCCGCCAGGAGCTCCCACCTTCCTGGTCTCCACTCGCTTCTTCCCAAGTGCCTGGGGAGATCCGATCATGAGAGGCCCTGGGGTCGTTCGGGAGCTCGCTGGCATCTGAGGAGGCCTTGCCCGTATCTGTCATGCCTCTAGGTCCCCTCCGCATCATGGCCCTGGTCATCTCCGTGGGCCTCACCTGGCTCGTAGCCAGCATCCTCCTCGGTGGGCCTGGCGGCGGCTTTCCTCGCATCCAGCAACTCTTCGCCAGTGAGTGTGGGACTCTCCCTCGTCCCGCTACGAGGTCCCCGGCGCGGCCACCTGGGCCTGCGGCCTGAGGCTCGGGGTGGAGGTGGCGGTGGCCTGGGTTTTCTGTCTCTTCCTGGCAGGGCACCTGTAGCTGCCCTCGGTCCGCCTCCTGGCATCCGGCACAGCCTTCCCCCTACCACCTAGTTGCTTCGGCTGGAAACGCCAATCCCCGCTAATTAGAATCCTTTGTTCACTGGGGCCCATGTGAGGGGCAGGGGGGCTTTTGCTGAACACTGGGGATGACTCCCAAGTTGTTCCCTGCAGGCTTTCTGCTGGGTTCTGAGATGGGGAGGGGACTCGACACCTCGTTACTGGTGACACATCACCTAAGTACTTTTTGCAATTCTGATCTACCCTTTTCCTGGAGCAGAGAGCTTTGCATCTGAACATCATTTAGACTTGAGCGGGAACGTACGTGGCAAGGTCAGCCTGGCTTAGCCCTTGGCCCCTGAACCTGACTGCCCCTCCACCTTGACTTCACAGTATAGGAGCAGGCTTCCTTGCTGCAGGCCCTAGGAAAGGTCCACACTAACAGAAACAACTCTCTGTACCCACAGGCCCAGAGAACTCAGTGACTGCAGGTAAGGCTCCTGTCACCTCCCTGCTCCTCCCCTGTGCCCACCCCCTTACCACTTTTGTGACACTCGTGCCTGTCCCCAGCCCTCCAGGCTTTCTCTTCTCCAATCATCCCTCCCCAAACTAGCTGTCACAGCCCACGAGCTGCTTGCATGCTGGGAGCCTAGGAAACAAGTTACCTGCTTCCAGAATACACTAGGGGGACAGGCATAGGATAGACATTCCCATTCCAAAAGGGAGAAATTGGAAGGTATAAAGGGGTCATCAGTCTCAAGCAAGTCCCAAACCCAGCAGGGCAAATCCATTCGATTTCAAAGCATAAGAAGAATCCCTGGGCCTTTGGTGGGGGTAGGGGGGATCTGGAACGTAGGGGACGATCCTACCCTCCCTCTGGGCCTGAGCCATCTCTGGCCTCTGCAGCCATTGCTCTGCCCTTGGAATCATCCTTCCTCCCTTCTGTCCTTTCTGTGTCCCTTTCGGTCCAGGCTGGCAGTGTTTCTACTGGTATAAAATTCTCAAAAACTTTGTTGATCTCCTGTGCAATTCATGAGGGTCTAAGCTGTAAGACACGAGAATCCTCCAGATCTTTCCTGGATAACCTCATCTCTCCATTCCTAGCTTCCGCTGACATGCTTGAGCGGGTCCACAGGTCACGCGGCCCAGCTCTTCATGAACAGTTGTCCAGCCACACCCTTGGTGTTCTCTCCCAAGCCTGCTTTCTCATTTTTTGCAATATGATTAGCCTGAGAATCTTCTAGATCTTCACATTCTGGTTCCTTCATACTTAACAGTTACATCCTCAATTTATGTCTCTTCCCTTACATGTTACTTTGAGCAACAAGGAGAAACCCTCAACACTGTGCTTGGAAATCTCCTCAGCTCAGTCTCCAAGTCCAGCATCCACAAAACAGTAGAAAACAACTTGGCCAAGTTCTTTGCCGCTTTATGACAAGGATGGCCTTTCCTCCAGTGTCCCATAACATGTTCCTCATTTCTGTCTGAGAGCTCACCAGAAGCACTGTTAGCATTCACATTTCTATCGACAGTCTGGTCCCGATGACATGTGCCTTATCTCAGACCATAGAAGCTCTCTACTGCTCTTCTCTCTTCTTTCTGAGCCCTCACCAGAATCACCTATAATGTCCATATTTCTACCAACAGTCTCTTCAAGGCAATCTAGGCCTTTCCTAATATGCACCTCAAAATTCTGCAGCCTCTACCCATTACCCAATTGCAAAGCCATTTCCACATTTTTAGGGATTTATCATGGCAGCACCCCACTTCTTGGTATCAGAATCTGTATCAGTTTCCTGGGGCTGCCGTAACAAAATAGCACAAACCAGGTGGCTTAAACAACAGTTCCGGAAGGTAGAAGTCTGAAATCTAGGTGTTGGAAGGCTACACTCCCTCCAGAGGCTCCAGCTTCTGGTGGCCTCAGGTGTCCCTGGACTTGTGGCCGCCTCCCTCCCATCTCCGCCTCCATCTTCACAAGGACTTCTCCTCCATGTGTGTGTGTCTTCTCTTCTGTCTTTTATAAGAACACGTGTCATTAGATTTAGGTCCCACCCTATTCCAGGATGACCTCATCTTAATGAATTATAACTTCAATGACCTTATTTCCACAGAGGATCACGTTCTGAGGTCCTGGGAGTTGGGACTTGAGAACATCTTTTGTGGGGACACAGGTCACCTCGTAATAGAGACCAACCTCCTTGTGCGCTCTCCATGGGGTCCTTGCACCTGCCCTCCCAGCAGCTTTTCCTTCCCTCCTGTCCTCTGTTCCCGGTGGGGCCACAGCCCAGGCCAGCCCTCCTGCCTCCTTTCTCTTCTCCCACCAGTGGCCGAAGAGCCTCCCTGGGGTCCCTGTCACTTTGCCCTGAGGCCAGCCCCAGTGGGATACAGAGTGTCCATGGAAGTGTCCCTTCCTTGGCCTGAGCCACGTCCCCACCCCACGCCAGTCCCTTGGTCTGTGGTCACTCATTCCTCCCTATGGGCTGGTCCTGACCTTCCCCTCTCAGATCTCGGGTGCCCCCATGGCCAGGCCCATGGGTCACCCCTGTTGTCCCTACCCAGAGCCGAGGGCCAGGAAGTACAAATGCGGCCTGCCTCAGCCGTGTCCCGAGGAGCACCTGGCCTTCCGCGTGGTCAGCGGGGCTGCCAACGTCATTGGACCCAAGATCTGCCTGGAGGACAAGATGTGAGCCCCTCAGGCGGGTGGGGGCGGGGAGGGGAGCTGGGTCTGCGAGGACCGGGGTCGAGCAGGGTAGACGTGCCACTGGAAGGCTCTGTCCCCCTGCTAGGCTCATGAGCAGTGTCAAGGACAACGTGGGCCGGGGACTGAACATCGCCCTGGTGAACGGTGAGTTGCCCACGGAGCAGAGAGGCAAAGCTGAGCCGTGACCTGCCGCCCTCCTTCCACCCCGCCACCAGGGATTCGCAGGGGGGCCTGGGAAAGGGTCTGTGCGAGCTGAAGGCTCCACAGAAGAGGTGACCCGATGGACGAGAGCGTGGCAGCAGTGAAGAACTGGAAGTTTCCAGGAAGTGGGAGGCTGCTTCATGGGGAGCCCCCGGAGGGCCCCCAATACTGAGCAGAAGCTCCACAGCCTCGGGTGGGTCCCAGCAGTCTGAACGAGGGGCACGGTGGGCGTGAAGATGGGGGGAGGTGAAAAGCTTCCAGCAGCACCCATCCTTCCCTCCGACCAGGGGTAAGCGGAGAGCTCATCGAGGCCCGCGCCTTCGACATGTGGGCGGGAGGTGAGTCAGGCCGCGGCCTCTGCCTTCTGACTGTGGGCGGAATGACGGCATCTTCCCCCTGAAAGCTGCTCCTTCTGTCTGCTCGCTGGGGAGTCTTGAGCACTTCCTTGGGTTCAGAAAAGCCAGGGAGAAGGACAGGTGTATGGTCAGGGCTTCAGCCCTGGCTTCTTATACCATTTGGTCCCTGCACTCACTCAGCAGCCCTGGCCGGGGTGCGTCCCTGGCCTGATCACTACTTTAGTTTCCTCATCTGGAGAACAGGGGTTGGTGAGGGAGGGGTGCTCAGTGGTGCCTGATGCTCCATGGGAACTGTCCCCCTAGATGTCAATGATCTACTGAAGTTTATCCGGCCGCTGCATGAAGGCACCCTGGTGTTTGTGGCTTCCTACGATGACCCAGCCACCAAGTAAGTAATGGCCGAGGCTGGCCGAGGCCTCACCCTTCTGTGGTCATGGCTCATATCTCTTCCTTCTGTGGGGCAGGATGAATGAAGAGACCAGGAAGCTTTTCAGCGATCTGGGCAGCAAGAATGTCAAGGACCTGGCCTTCCGGGACAGCTGGGTGTTTGTAGGGGCCAAGGGTGTGCAGAACAAGAGCCCCTTTGAGCAGGTATGGGCACAGGCCCTGGGACCCCCACTGCCCGGCACAGGCCAGTCTGCCCTCCCCTCCTGCCTGCATCCTCTGAGGTCCCCTCTGTTCACGCCCAGCACCCACACACACAGCAGCCCACACGTCTTTAAGATGCTCCTGGGACTTCTCCGATGTTTGGGACTCTGCGCTTCTGCTGCAAGGGGCACGGGTTCAATCCCTGGTCGGGGAACTAAGATCCTGCATGCCAGGCTGCTCAGTCCTGTCCCATCCCCCCAAAACCCAGCACCCCAGTTCACACTGCACACCCTGCTCCCCACAGCAGAACAAGGCAAACAGGCTGTTCCACCAGTTTCTGGAAGGCTCCGGCTGCCGAAAGAGCAGCTCAGCCCCCAGAGAAGAAACGCCCCCTCTGGCCTCGCTCTTCCCGGAGCTTCCAGCGGCTCCCTGAGGGCTGGGTGAGGGCAGGGACACACTCCCCCTCCTTCCCTTCCTAGCGTGTGCCAGGCCCACCTAAGTTCAAAGAAGGTGATCCCCCCCTCCACCTGCGATGGGGCAGGCCAGGGCAGCTGCTGCCATCTTTAGATGAGAACGCTGAGGCGCTGGGACAGACAGGTGGCGGGTGCCCGAGGCTGCACGCTTGGTTGACCCTGGCACAGGGGGACAGGGAGTTCTGTCTGGCCCTGGTGCCCGAGGGCTGAGCCCGTGCCTTCCTGCCCCCACCGACCCGCAGCACGTGAAGAACAGTAAGCACACCAATAAGTACGAAGGCTGGCCCGAGGCGCTGGAGATGGAAGGCTGCATCCCCAGGAGGACCACAGCCAGCTAGCGGCCAAGCTCGAGGACCAGACTAAGCGAGGCTGTGTGTACCCAGTCAGGAGGGGGCGCCGGCACAGCGCCGAGGCCCGACCCCACGCCCAGCCAGGGGCACTCCTGCCCCAGCACGGCAGGGCTCCGAGGCAGTGACTGGTGACCAGACCATGCCCAGTGGTGGGGCTGCGCTGCGGCCCCATGGCGCTTTGTCCGGGGACCCCAGGTACCCGTCTCCTTTTCCTAAAGCGCTCTGCTGGCCGACACCCACCCAAGTCCCAAGCGCCTGAGGCCCCCAGTCTGGTAGCAGCTGCCTGGCAGGTCGGGGCATCTTCCGGAGCCTCTCCATTCCAGAGTGGCTCGCTGCTCTGCAGGCCAGTCCTGTTTCCAGTGTGATTCGTTCTGCTGAGCCGAACGCGGTGGCCACTCCCGGCGCCTGGCTGCCTCCTGCCTTGCTCTCGCGGGAAGGGGTGCCCACCTGGGAGCCAGGCCGGCCGGGCAGTGAGGTCGCCGGCCCGATGGCGGTTCCCAGCGTGGCGGGTGGCAGCTCCTGCGGTTTGTCTGTCAGAGGGCCCGCTTTCTAAATGACGTCTTAATAAACTGGTGGCCCCCGAAGGAATGAGATGCATTCAGAAGGGAGTCGGGTGGTGTTGTCCTTGAGATGTGATTCAGGTGGTGAGCAGAGGGGCTCCCCTGTGGGCATCCCTGTAGCCTTGCCCTTAGACACGGCACAGGCCTATAGGGACAGGGATGGGGATTAAAACCAACCCAGGAGCTTCCCCCCTCCCCGCAGCCTCCCGCGAGAGCTAGTGTGTCTCCCCCGCAGTGCTCAGCGTTAGATGCCTTTGAAATCAGGCCAGCAAGAGGCCGAGTCACGTGGGCTATTTGGCATTTCTCACAGATTGCAGTTATATTTCCCTGCAAGGGGTGAGAACCAGCAAGAAACTATAAGGAGGTTTCTGGAAAAGTACATGAGGGTGCAGAAATGGTCTGGGGTCACAAAAAGGAGAGAAGGCGGTTGGGACTTCCCAGATGGAGGAATCGGGGCGCCAGCCAGGTAGGCTCAAGGGGGCCGTGGCCGGGGCAGTGGACCTGCGAGTCCCCCCTCTAGGGGTTAGGTGCTGCGAGAGTGTGAACACGGCATCAGGAAATGAAAGTATTTAAGGAGGTGGCAGAAGAGGAGAGAGAGGCGAGGGACGGCCCAGGACGAGAAGCTGTGCTTGTGAGGCCATAGCCACGACTGCAAAGGACCAGGAAGTGGAGACGTGAGGACGGCCCAGGTCGCTTACCTGGAAGATGGTGTTCACGGAAGCAGAAACGCAGCCTGACCCTGTGCCGAGAGCTTTATGTGTCTTCATTTTTAAATAGACTTCCTGTTTTAGAGCAGTTTTAGGTTCCCAGCAAAGTTGAGCAGAAAGTCCAGAGTTCCCACATACCCAGCCTCCACTGACACGTCATCACCACCCAAAGCCCAGGGTGGACATCAGGGTTCCCTCTTGGTGTCATACAGTCTGTGCGTTTGACAGTGTTTATAATGACGAGTACTTACCACTAGAGTATCATACATGTATTCATTTTTAAACCTTCTATTATGGACATTTTGAACATCCTCCAAAGTAGAGACACTAGTCTGATGAATCTACATGTACCCAGTGGGGCTGCCACAGTGATCATCGTGTGGCCAGTGTTTCATCTGCACACCCTAGCGAGCAATGCTGCTGGTTGCTGGTGAGCCCCATTTATGGAAGATAAATGGTCCCTGGTGTGCTCAGGAAAGTTTCCCTGGAGCTGGGAGGTTAGAAGCCAGATGAATAGGGCCCCACAAGGTTAGTCGCTTGCCCCAAATGAAACGCATCTCAGCGAAGGGCCGCACCGCAAGGCTGGGAGGTGCCTCTGTATTATACAACTGCTGAGCCAGCTGACCTGCCCCAGACCTTCACTGCGTGCGCCAGAGCCACACAGATGGAAACGGCAGGCCAGCTTTACCCCCCACGTGGCCCAACACAGGTAGGATGCTGACAGTGGTGTGCAATGCAGCCCGCCCGACCTTCCAAAGCGGAGGTACATCTTTACATCCTGCGGTCCTCTTCCGCCAGGGTTTTGTCCCCCAGGCCTACCCTCAGGAGTTAAGACATCGTCAGTTACAAATGACAGGGTCCCAACCCAACTGGCATATACAAAAATAAATACATAATGACGGGGGGGGGGCTTAATGTTCCTGTAACAGACCCCAACGCCCATGGGTGATTCCAGCTCCAGTAACGTCCTTAGGATACAGGCTCTCCATCTCTCGGCTCCGCTTTTCTTTGTGTTTGCATCCTTTTCAAACATGCTGTCTTCCCCAGGCAGGGGGAGTGACAGTAGATGTCCCAGGTTAGCAACCCCAGCAAGAAAAGAGCTCCCACCTTCCCAGTCGTTCCAGCCCAAGTCCCCAGGCACTACCTCTCATAGGTCCAGATTGGATTATGGGTTTATCCTTGTCTCAATCTGTGTGGCTCTGATTGGCTACCTCTGGGCCTGTGCCCACCCTAGAGGCCAGTGTTGGGGTCATCCTCATGCAAACCTTGTGTACCGAGAATGGAGGAGGGATGGCCCCCCAAAGAAAACTCGGGGGCCGTGACCTGTTGCTGGGCATGCAAAAACACCAGTTGTCACTACATTTCCCGGTAAATACCAAATGCATCCCATACTTGTGCTTGTATAGAGTACGCCTTCCATGCGTGCTGATTTATCACACGGTCTACTTGGAGACCCCTGCCTGGAGAGCAGGAGGTAGGCACACTTTTCAGGGTCATCACTGTGGCCCTGTTAGCAGGACTGTGGCAGGTCTCCCATCTGAAGTGCACGGATGTTGTTTCAGCTGTCACTATCGTTTGTGCCATCTATTCTGTCGGTCCAACTGACTTCTCTTTTGGAACTAGATATCCTTGACTGATTCGTAGAGACCTTCCTTCTCCTCTGGGGTAAATTATTAATCCCCTAAACTAACTACAAACATTCTCTTGTCTTTAATTTAGCCACGCCTGTTTTCCTGCAGGGAAGGCCTCTAAACTCCCTCCTGTCGGACAGCCCACCAGCCCGCTCTGGCTTTTCAGGGAAGACTGAAAGGACTGATGGTAGAGCGGGGAGCAGCCTTCTAACTACATTTGCTCTCCTTGACCCCTGGCACCAATTCCCGTGCAGCTGGAATATAAAAACACAGGTTTCCTCAAGGGCTAACACATCTTTTAGGTTTTCCATCCCCAGTCCTTCCAGCTGACCCATCCCCCTTCTCCCTCTGGCCAGTTTTACCCCATCCTCAGGCAGCGACAGCACCACTGCTCTTTTGCAAACTGCAGTCTTCCACACAGCATGTGCCAAGTTCAGCCCTCTCACCTGTGCCAGGCTGCTTCCATCAGGACAGCTCAACCCATTTGAGAGGGACAGTACAGACTTTCTGGGACACCAAGTCCACACACACAAATGGCTTATGAACTGAGGCTAAAGAACAGCCTAGAGCTATGGCCTCTGAATGTTTCTGGATCATTGACATAAATCAAACCCAGAGTGTGTACCCTCACCATGTTTGTGTCTGCTTACATGTCACATGCATGTACTAATCTGAACTTTATAGCACACATACACAACTAGAATTTTTAAACAAGTAAAATGTATTTAAATAAGGCTAAATGAAAATAGGTTTTTATTTAAATGATTACAATTATTTATTGGAAAAATTAAATAGAAGAGATGCTACGGGTCTTTTTGGACATTCTCTACGATGTGTCTTATGAACCTCCTGGGGGCAAGAACCTGCAAGTTTGGGCACCACTGGCCTCCATCACAGCCCTGACAAGAGGTCTTCCAGAGCAGTGGGCAGCCCTCGTCCCGCTGCCTGACCGCAGGTGCCCAGCAGCCTCTGGGAACATGCAAACCCCCGTCATTCTACACTTGCTTGCTTACTGTCTTCCCATGTCCACATTCTACGTCCTCACCACCTTTTTGCCCTTCCTTATGCCATGTGTGTGCGTTCCTTTTCCGTGAAGCCTCTGGACCTTGCTGGTGGCCCCAAATAGTTTTGAGAGGTTTAAAAGTTCACTGATATTACACAGTGTGGAAATAGGCGCTCGGTCGACGTTTGAACGAAGGAAGGTGGAACAAGGCCGAGCCCGGGCCCCGGAGTCTGGGTCGGTCGGACCCGGCTCTCGGGCTACAGGACTGGGCGCCCTGAGCAGGACCGTGGGCGAAACCCTGACCCCAATCTCCCGCCACCAGCAGCAGCCCTCGGGCGTCCTAGTTCAGCTAACGTCTAAGCCTGTGTCCCAGTGCCCCCAGAGGTCACGGCGTGTTTGGGAATGACTGGGGTGCCTACGCGGAGCGAGTCGCCCCGGCGGCGACCGCACAAGGCTGGGACCCGCGGCTCGGTGGCCACACGAGTCCGCACCCGGCGCCGACCAACCGCCACCCGGAAGGCTGACAAGCCGGCGCGCGCGCGCCACCTCGTCGCTCCCAGACACGCCACATCCGGTCGGGACCCGCCCCGGCCGCCAGAGGTGAGGAGGCCGCCGCGGGGTGGGCGGGGCGGGGCCTCGTCGGCTCGGGGCGGGGCCCCGGCGGGCCGAGCTCGCAGGCGTCCACCCGCCCTGCCGGCCGCGGAGGCAGGTGAGAGCCTCGGTCTGGGAAGGGCGGTTGGAAGGCGGCTTCTGGCCCCGGCCGGGGAAGGGCCACCACCGCGCGTTCGTGAGGCCTGGCGCGGCCGTGGGGACCGGGAGTGGCGTGAGAGACCCCGGGAGTGCCCGGGCGGGTCGCCGGCCTGCAGGCTGCGGGGCTGCAGCGCGAACCCGGCGGCGGCGCGCTCCTTCTCCCCTCCCTCCCCGATTCCTGCCCGAGCTCTGATTGTGCCCCATCCACCAACTTCTGGACTCCCAGGTAGGGAGGAGACCCGGGTCAGCACTGCCAACTGCCCTGACACCGAACGCCTGGCCCGTGTGGAAAAAGCCACCGGCCCGGGGTTCCCTCGCCTGCCTAGGGGCGCATCTGCCCAAACTCTAATGGTACCTCAAGCAGAAATAGTGGGGATCCGGGCCAGACCCCTCACGCAGTGACTCAAAGCCGCCAGCGGTACTGGAAGGACGGGGTGGATAGCCCTTCGCCTCCTCTGCCTCTGAGCTGGCTCACAGCACCCGGCGCCTTCAGTGCCGGGCGCCTTCATCCTTTCCCTGTGACTCCCTCTGGTTTTCCTGCCTCCCTCTTCAGTGGTGGGACTCAAGGCTGGATCAGGGCCTCCAGGGTAAGTGACGCAAACCCCAAGCCAGGAGAGGCCATGGCATCCCAGGGTGGCACAGCGGAACTTCACCACCTACTTCCCCTGCTCCCCCGGCGTCGGGGAGGGGGGGGGAGGGGGCAGGACCCAACCCTGATAGGATCTAGAGAAGCAGGGGCCTCTTCCGAGACTGGGACAGCGTAGGATGTGACTCAGTCAACAGTAATGATGAAAAATCACTGTGCCCTCATCCTGGTTGCTCCAGTTCCTGCAGGTGATGTGGCAATCGGCTGCTGGCTGCCCAAACTGAGAAGTGGAAGGAGACAAACGTACTCCTTTCCCCCTGAGGCGCCCTGCCCTCCTAGAAACACTCCTCCTGTCACTGGTAGTTCCAGGCTCTGCTAGGGCCATGTGTGGGCAGGGGAGGAGTCCCTGGACTTTGGCACAGTGGCTCTAGGAGCTCAAATTCTGGGACCGCCAGGGGAGTGGGAGCTCTGACAGAAGGAGAACCCCCGGTGGACACGTGGCCCAATCTGATCCCTTCCTGCTGCCCCTTCCGGCAGCTCCCCTGGGGAGAGGGGACCTGTGCCCTCCCAGAACCCCCATCGCACCCCTGTCAGCAGGAAGGGTAGGCCAGGTGGCCATGCACAGCAATGCCGTTCATGCGCCAATGGTGAACATCAGCCCCTGGGGCCTTTGGCCTGGTGACCACCCACTGCCCCACCCTTTGCCGGCTGCTCTCTGCCTGGCAGATGACACTCAAATGCCCTAACCTGCTCTCAGCGGGCCGGCTTCCTTGGCATCCCTGGGCAGTCCTTCAGAGATTTCGTCCCAGTGGTGGTACTGCTGCAGCTGCGTCTCAGAGCAGGTGGGGCACAGGCTAGTGGTGACAGGACTGAGGATGGCTCTCCCAGATCCTCTGGTATCGGGACATCTCCAGATGGTCACTGTGGTGGGCAAACCCAGGGAAATCAGCGCGTATCAGCGGGCTGAAGGCGAACTCCGACCTGTAGGTGGCCCCTCTGGGTGAGGGATGAGGAGCTTGAGGCAGTTGCGACTGGGATGGGGGCAGCCGAATGGCACTCAAGGGCCAGCACTAGGCCTTCCGTTTCCATCCCCAGGCTCGCGGCAAGGGGCGCTGCCACGTCTCCGAACAGTGGGCTTCCAGATCCTGCGCTCCTGGGCTCACAGCTGCTCGCCTTCACCAGCCACCTACCTCTCTGTGTCCCTTCTCTCCTCAGGAAGAGCTCTGCTATCAAGGAAGGCAGCACAGGGCCAGGCCTTGCCCATGGACCCTTCTCAGGACAACCCGACGGCACCCGCAGAGCTGCTCTCCTAAGCCGCAGGGGGCCCGGGCTCCCCACCTTTTGGGAGGAGCCATGGTGTTTAGAAGGTGGCTGGGCCTGGGGGGTGGCAGTGTCTGCACGGGCCCCCGAGGCATGCTCAGGGCCAGCCTGCTGCTTCTCAGCCTGCTCTGGGGGGCGCGGGGCACAGCCAGCGCCAGTCTCAGCGCGGCTGTGGGCCGTACCGTGCCCCTGACAGAGCGCCGCTACCTGAGCATTGGGGATGGCTCCGTGACGGAGTTTGAGTTCCCAGAGGAGAGCGAGGGCATCATCGTGGTCTCAAGCCAGTACCCGGGCCAGGGCAACGGGACGGGGCCCAGCCCCGTGCTGAGGGTCACCTCCCTGGACACAGAGCTGCTGACCATCAGGAACGTGAGTGCCATAGCCTGGGCTGGTGGGGGCGGCTTCGTGGTGAGCATCCACTCGGGCCTGCCTGGGCTAGCGCCACTCCACCTCCAGCTCCTGGACCCCTGTGAGGCCCCGCCCACGCTGGTTGAGGAGCGGAGAGATTTCTGCATCAAGGTCTCACGTGCTGAAGACCCTGCCGCCCTTGGCACTGACTTGGCCCACTTCTCAGAGAACCCAGTACTCTACCTGCTCCTGCCTCTTATCTTTGTCAACAAGTGTTCATTTGGGTGCCAAGTAGAGCTCGAAGTTCTGAAGGGGCTCCTGCAGAGCCCCCAGCCCATGCTGCTGGGCCTCCTGGGCCAGTTTCTGGTTATGCCCTTCTATGCTTTTCTGATGGCTAAGGTCTTCATGCTGCCCAAGGCCCTGGCTCTGGGCCTCATCATCACTTGCTCGTCGCCCGGCGGCGGGGGGAGCTACCTCTTCAGCCTCCTCCTTGGGGGGGATGTCACCCTGGCCATCTCCATGACCTTCATCTCAACAGTGGCTGCCACCGGCTTCCTGCCGCTGTCCTCGGCCATCTACAGCCGCCTGCTCAGCAGCCACGAAACACTCCACGTGCCCATTTCCAAGATCCTGGGGACCCTGCTGTTCATCGCCATCCCCATAGCAGCGGGCGTGCTGATCAGGTCGAAGCTCCCCAGGTTCTCGCAGCTGCTGCTGCAGGTCATCAAGCCCTTCAGCTTCGTGCTGCTCCTGGGCGGCCTCTTCCTGGCCTGCCACATGGGGGTCTTCATCCTGGCGGGCGTCAGGCTGCCCATTGTGCTGGTGGGCCTCACAGTGCCCCCGGTCGGCCTCCTGGTGGGTTACTGCCTGGCCACGTGCCTGAAGCTGCCAGTGGCCCAGCGTCGGACTGTCAGCATCGAGGTCGGGGTGCAGAACAGCCTGCTGGCCTTGGCCATGCTGCAGCTGTCCCTCCGCCGCCTTCAGGCTGACTATGCCTCCCAGGCCCCCTTCCTTGTGGCACTGAGTGGCACCTCAGAGATGCTGGCCTTAGTTACTGGCCACTTCATCTATAGCAGTGTGTGTGCAGTTCCCTGAGGCCCCCCGGGTCAAGCTTTCGCCACCCCTAGCCCCCAGCCTCCACCCACGGCCCCCACAGTTCTGTGTACCAAAGGCCTTTAGTTCTCATGCACTCTATGCACTCAGAAAAATCCAGGCTTATTTTTTGTACTCGTTTTTTATTCTCCAGCTTTCAGTGCCAAAGAGGCCATGCTGAGTTCAGTAGGTGGGCACTGCCTAGAAAATATATTTCAATAAAAGAGAGAAGCAAGCTTGGGTCCCTTCCAGTCTTTGCCCTCTGAGGCCGGCGGGCGGCGCGGGGGGGGGGGGGGGGGTGTGGCTGGGTAAGTGTGGGCCAGGGTGGAGGGCTGGCTTGGGTGACACGGTGACCTCTGCCCAGACTTTCTCTCTCAGCCCTTCTTACCCATGCATCACCTCTGAGAGTTGGGTCTCTCTGTTCCAGAAGGAGCGGTGGGAAGATGAGAGCGGAGGACTGGCTCCCCCGCCCGCTCCCAAGCTCAGCTGATTTTCCATAGGCCGACTAGAAAGGAGGCAGCAGGAGGGCCGCGGGGCGAGCTCTGCAGGGCCGGGTCATCAGCGGACTCCTGAGAGGCAGGGAATCGGCCTCAGCGCCGACCTGTTCCGCCCTCGGGCAGTGAGCGGGGGCGAGCGAACCCCTGGCCCGCCTTCTCCCCAGAGTCCCAGCTCCCCGACTCCGCCGACCGGGCCCGACTAGTTCCTCCGCCCCTTCTCATCCCCGCGGGCTTCCCGGCTCAGTCGCCGCGGGGCCCGGGTCCGGGCCGGTCCCCGTGCTCCGGGGTGCGGGGGGGGGTTGCGGGGGCGCTGGGGAACGCGACACGGGGGGCGGGGCCGCGACGCCAGGCGCGCCCCTCGCGCGACTTCCGGCAGCGGCAGCTGGTTCTGGCGCGCGCCCGGGGCGGCGGCGCGCGGCGGGGGTCTGTAGGGCTTCGCGCCGGCCGGAGTGGACGCCGCCGCGGCCGCCATGCATCTAACAGTGAAGGCGCTCCAGGGCCGCGAGTGCAACCTGCAGGTAGCGCCGCCGGTCCCCGCCGCCGTGCCGGCTCACGCGGTTGGCCCCTGGGCGCAGGGCCGGGCCGAGGGCGGGGACGAACCGGGCGGGCTGGCCGCTCAGGGGAAGCCAGGAGAGCCGCCCTCCGCGGGGGCTGCGGCCTCACCGCCTGCCTCTCACCCTCGGCCCGGCCAGGTGTCGGAGGACGAGCTGGTGTCCACGCTGAAACATCTGGTCTCCGAGAGGCTGAACGTCCCCGTCCGCCAGCAGCGGCTGCTGTTCAAGGGCAAGGCCCTGGCAGGTAACCGGGGAGAGGAGACGCCCGGGGAGCCCCGCGGGAAGTCAGGGGATGGGGCGTCCGGGCCGATCCCGGGCAGCAGTGGAGTGGAGGGGGCTCTGGCCACTTGACCCCCGGGGAGGCTGCATCCTCAGCCGGATGCCGCGGCGCTCCGCCTGGCCTCCCCGAGGCCTTTCCCACCACCGCGGGCCACAGCTCCATCAATCTCTCTCGGGCAGATGGGAAAAGACTCTCCGATTACAGCATTGGGCCCAATTCCAAGCTCAACCTAGTGGTCAAACCTCTGGAGAAGGTGTTACTGGAAGAAAGCAGCGCGCGGACAGTGGCCGAGGCCCCGCCCCCACCCCCGGCCACCTGGCCTCTAATCTCCAAAGTCCTGGCCCGTCACTTCAGCGCCGCAGATGCCAGCAGAGTCCTGGACCAACTCCAGAGGGTGAGCAGGGTCGCCCGGGACTTCCACGTCCCACCCAGCCGCTCGCAGCCCCTGCCCCTATCCCAGTGTCCCCCCGACCCGCGCCGCTGAATCCTCCTGGCCTTCTCTCCTCAGGATTATGAGAGGTCCCTGAGCCGCCTGACGCTGGATGACATCGAACGCTTGGCTGGCCGCTTCCTGCACCCTGAAGTGACTGAAGCTATGGAGAAGGGGTTCTCCAAGTAGGATTCTCGGAGTGTGGGGAGGAGCCGGGCCAGGCCACAAGCTGCATGTAGCATTAAATGTGTTCTCATGTTGCAATTCGGCTCATAATACTAGCTGGCGGGTACGCGGGTACCTGTATCCGGCTCTTGACCTGGGTTTGCTCCCACGTTTGGCGCTAGTGCTGAAGTGGGAGAGCCACAATCTGAGTCCAGCCAGCTTCTAGAAGTGCCTCAGGGTGAGAGGGTTGTTTAGGAGGGTTCTGAGGGGTGGGCTTTGGCATTCCGTGTTCAGCCCACTGAGGATGAACCCTCGAGCAATACCTTTCCAGGCCTGAAAGGGGAAGCAGCTGGCCCCTGCTGCCCAGTCCTGTCACCTCGCCTCTGGCAGGTCTGACATTGGCAGGTCAAGTGACAGCCAGCCTTGGGCCCCCTCAAGCTGCTGCCACCAGTGTGCACTCGATGAAGGGAAAGCGTGTTGGGGGGTCTGGGACGTCACCCAGCTCTGGAGTGTTACCTTGGGCAAGTCCCTGTGCCATGTTGGTCCCCAGCCATTGACTCTGCACAGTGAGGGCCACTCCTTAGACCTCAGTCAGTTTCCTTTACCCCCAACTCCCCCGGGGTCGGGAGTCTGCAGCCATCCTCCCCCTTGTGTCCCAGATACAAAGTGAGGCCAAAAGCTGAGTGATGGCCAAGCGTGGCCCAGAGATGGGATGCCCTGGCCCTTAGTGTCACAGCTTTTCTCTGGGCACCCCCTCTGCTTGTCTCCTCCTGGACACGGGCGGTCCTCGACCCTTAGAGATGACAGGTGATGGGCTCGAGGTTACTCAGCCAGGCCCCTACACCCTGCGCTCACCCACAGCCTGAAAGTAGACCCTTCCCCTGCCGCGTGTGTACAGGGACTTTCACTGTGCACACCACTCACTGCCTGACAAGGAACCCTGGGGGGCCAGGGAGGGGCAGAAGCCGCTGGCGGGTGGGCCCTAGAGATCATCGAGGCACCTGCTCCTTGGAGGAGGGCGCCTGGGCCGCCCTCCTGCCTGGGCCTCGTGGGGTAAGCGCCGGGTCCCCGGGCTGGGAGGACGGACAGAGGCCTGACGGGCAAAGGCTTTGAAGAACAGATGGAAGGCCCTGGCCCCGCCCCGCAGCAGGGCCCGTGTGACAGACTTGCCTGCACTCTCATTTCGCTTCCGTCAGGAAGGTTTATACTGACACTTCCAGTCGCACTAGAGGTGAATGTGAGACTTTGATCTGAAAGGAACTGTATTAGCTGGGCGGCTTTTGGTTTCCAGTAATTGATTTAACCGTAGAGGAAGTTGGTTTAAGCAATAAAAGAAATGTATTGGTTTACGAAACAGAAGTCCAGGGGTATTGGCAGCAGATAAACAGTTTCACCAAATACCCAGTTTCTTCCTACCTCCCCTCTGCACTCTGCAGCGTCTGCTTCATCCCAGGCCTCTGCCTCAGGATCAGAAGATGGTTGCCTGCAGCTTCCACCAAATCCCTCGATCACAGCCAGCAAGGAGCACCTTCCCGACCTGTAGCGTAGCTTCTTTCTCAGATGCCCCCGGCAAATAAACGCTGTCCTTTCGTTGGTCAGAACCGGGTGGTGCCTCCATCATTTTGGCGGGGGGGGGGGGGGGCTGGGGGGGGAGAGGGGGATTCTCAGCGAAAGCCAGGTCCTCGGGGAGGGCTGACCGGTGCAGTGCAGGGGAGTGACACACGCAGACGCATGTTGCAGACAGACCCTAGAGGCGGTTGTTGAGTCCCTTGTGCCAGTGCCTCCCGGCTTGGGGGTGACAAAGCCATCTGCTGGGCAGTTGGACGGGGGTGTCAGGAAGTCGGTGGCGGGTAGATCAGGCTGGACAGGGAGACAGGAGTGGCGTCTTCAGGGTGTATGGTAGGCGCCTTGCTGACAGAACCGACTGGGATCTGGACCCGGTCTGATTCCACAGCCCCGTGCAGCCTTCCATGACGTTCGGGAGCGGCCTGTGGACACGATGTCCTAGATGCCGTAAGGACGGATGAGACGGCTTCCCTGGGAGCGTGGCATAAAAAGAGGGGAGAGGACTGGGCCATGAGGGACTTCACCAACTGGAGACGCTGTGGAGGCTGCAGGGAGAGCTCGGTGTCAGAGGCCAAGAACGCCCCTCCAGGAAGACGTGGGGCGGGGGGAGTTGTCTAGTGGTGCCGAGAAGCACAGGGAGGGCATGGCAGAGCCTCCTCTCGCCTCGGTAGCAAGAAGGTCGTCGGCAGCGCCGTGGGGAAGGGGCCGTGACGGTGACCGCGGACCCCTGCTTCCGGAAGCTTGTCTGCGCAGCAGGGTGTAGCTGTGCAGGGGCAGGGCCGGGGCGGGAACATGGAGAGGGAGGAGATGCTGCCGGCATGAGAGATGGGAGGCCCGGGTGGGAAGGCCCATGCCATCGTGAGAGGAGACGGGCGACCGCACGTGAAGACAGAATGGCCGCAGGCTGCATCCCGCCTTTGCCCTTAGATTCTCGGGGTGGCCCCATGTACACCGCAGGCTCCAAATGCTGAGATCCTTCCACAGGGGCCGGAATGTCTATCGTGGGCACTGTACCCCTTGGGCCAAGTGTCCGCCCCGGAGGTGGGTGCTGACCCACCTGTTACCCCCTGGCCCCTGGCTACTGTGTGGCCCCGAGACCCGCTGTCCACTCCTCACAGAGGGGCCTCGAGCCAGTCGCTGATCCCCAGGGCCGTGGGGTGCAGCTCACAGCCCTGTGGTGACCACAGTGCCGCTAGGAGACGGCAGGATGAGTAAAGGGCCCAGCTGAAGTGGCCTCGCAGACAGATGGGCTGTGGCACCTGGGATGAGATGCCTGTGATGCCATTTCCCACGGGCACACAGGAGGAGGGGCAGACTCAGAGGAAAGCAGCGTTTCTTTGGGGGTGGGCTCATGGAGTTGGAAGCACCCAGGCGACAGATCAGCCGTGCCCACAATTTGCTGGCGCCTTGCAGGCTTTCCCTACAGGCCTGGACGAGACCGGGCCTCACCAGCTCCAGTAGGTGGGACAGGCGCTGTTCAGCCGTGCCAGGCCCTGCCAGCAGCAGACGCAACAGCCGTGGCGGCCTCAGCCCTCCGGGCCTTGAAAAGCCTGCAGGAGAGACAGTCACCCCTGTCCCCCTCCAAGGCCCAGCCAGAGCAGCCTCCCCTAGTTCCTGGGGACCTGCCCCTGGCCACCTCTGCTGCCGCCCTCTCTGCTTTTCCTTCCACTTGGTGGCTCACTCCTCTGGCTCCTTTGCTGGTTCTCCCCCCACACCCCCATCTCTTACTGTCGGGGGGCCCCGAGACTCTGTCCCCGGACCCCTTCTCCATGTCACTCCCTGGGGAGCCTGCCCACCTTCATCACCATTTCTGAGTTTTGCACCCGTGTCTGTGGCTCATGCCAGCCCTGTCTCTGAGCTTCAGGCCACAGCTCTGGGCTGTGACTCCCTTGTAGAGTTGCATTTTCCCTCCCCAATGCACAAGTAATCTGGGTGACACCTTGAGACCCAGTGACTATCTTTTCTTCCCCAGCAAGCTTTATCTCATGGTTTTACCTTCCAAGGATGATCCCCAACTGGATGAATTGCATTGGTGGCTGCAAAATGGTGGTTTTCTCATGCTTTCCTTCTTTCTACAATTTTTAGTTGGCATTTCTCTATAAAGAGCTTTCCCTTTTCACAATTGTCATGGTGGACGCATCGTTTCTTTGTTTTTTAAATAAATAAATTTATTGATTTATTTATTTTTGGCTGCGTTGGGTCTTCGTTGCTGCGTGCGGGCTTTCTCCAGTTGCGGCGAGTGGTGGCTGCTCTTCACTGCGGTGCGCGGCCTTCTCACCGCGGTGGCTTCTCTTGTTGCAGAGCACAGGCTCTAGGCGCGCGGGCTTCAGTAGTTGCAATGTGCGGCCCCAGTAGTTGTGGCACACAAGCTTAGTTGCTCCGCAGCATGTGGGATCTTCCTGGACCAGGGCTCAAACCCGTGTCCCCTGCGTTAGCAGGCGGATTCTTAACCACTGCGCCACCAGGGAAGTCCCTGCATTGCTTTTTTTTTTGGACTATAGCGTGCATAGAGTAATGTGCATAAATCGTCAATGTACAGCTCAATGGAATTTTAAAGTGAATACATGTATGCTACCTTCCCTGGTGCCTCCTCCAAAAGGTTTAATAGCCTTTTGGATGCTCAGATAGTCTAGCTTTGGTTCTTTCTGGTTGGCTCCCATGTCCTTTTGACATACCTCATCCTTTTGCTTTTCAAGCATGTCCTTACTTTCTGGCACCACAAGGTGCTCCAGGCTCATCTTGTATTTTTTCCTGCCCCATACCTAGAATCTTCCACCTCTCCAAGGACCTCTGGTTCCTTTTAGTGGAGAATGGTATTGAGAAACCAAGGTCTGGGTACAGGGTGTGTTCATTGCTACTGGAGTTTCACTGCTTCTAGACTCTTTCACTGGACAAAACTAGGAAATCTATTTTTTAAGAGTTCATACTGCAGTCCCCAATTCCAGTCTGGCAGTACAGTTCTTTTCCCTCATTCCACAGTGATGTTCCTGTCAACATCCATGTACGGATATATTTACTCATGTCCTCTACCAGATACAGTCTACCTTAGACTCTAGCTCCACAATCACCTCAACACTATCATTGCCAACAACATACATACTGGGAATAGAGCGGAGTCTTTCTGTCCTTAGAATATATCCCATGAAGGGAGCACAGTCAGAGGGCTGAATTTGGAAGGTACCTGACTTATTTTCTCTGTGTGGTTCTGTTGTCAACTGGATATGCAGTTAGGCTTATTTGCTTTTGTTTATATTCAATTTTGGCTTTTTTTCACTCTTTCAAATATATATATTTTTTTAATTATTTATTGATTTATTTGGCTGTGCTGGGTCTCAGCTGCAGTGTGCAGGATCTTCGTTCCCTGACCAGGGATCGAACCCCGGCTCCCTGCATTGGGAGCGCAGAGTCTTAACCACTGGACCACCAGAGAAGTCCCTCAAATGTATTTTTGAACATATAAAATATTTGCATGGTTCAAAGTCAAAACTATACAAAAGGATATATTACAAGAAATCTCATACCCATCTCAACCCCCTATAGGTGGTAATTTTCACTAGTTTCAGGGTTTTCCATCCTCCTTACATTTTTTTCCCCAATAAGCATGTGTGTCTGTGAGCGTGTGTGCAGTTGTCATTTGCACCCTGCTTTTTACATATTTTCATATAACAATATATCCTGGAAATCATTTCATTTTTCATTAGAGATTTTCATTCTTTTTACTGCTGCTTAGGACTATTGTATGAAGAACCTAGGGGTAAGACGGGAATAAAGACACAGACCTACTAGAGAATGGACTTGAGGATATGGGGAGGGGGAAGGGTAAGCTGTGACAAAGCGAGAGAGTGGCGTGGACATATATACACTACCAAACGTAAGGTAGATAGCTAGTGGGAAGCAGCCGCATAGCACAGGGAGATCAGCTCGGTGCTTTGTGACCACCTAGAGGGGTGGGATAGGGAGGGTGGGAGGCAGGGAGACGCAAGAGGGAAGAGATATGGGAACATATGTATATGTATAACTGATTCACTCTGTTATAAAGCAGAAACTAACACACCATTGTAAAGCAATTATACTCCAATAAAGATGTTAAAAATAAATAAATAAAATTAAGTTAGAAAAAAAGAAACAAACAAAAAAAAGGACTATTGTATGAATGAACCACAATTGATTTCACCAGTTCCCTGCTGATGGATATGTGCGTTGTGTCCAATAGTTTTCTATTACCAGTTATATTACAGTGAGTAATTTTATAAATATGTTGTTTCATATTTGTGAAGTAACTTCCTACATGTGGCATTGCTAGGCCCAAGACACTGAGTTTTGTACTTGCTTAATACACTGTTTCATCCGACAAGCAGCAAAGCACCTACTGCATAAACTGCAGTGAAAGTGTACCAGAGACAGTACATCAACAGAAGTGAACAAAACAAAGTTACAATTTCAGATTATTAGAAAGGCAACAGACTGAAATGGGCAAATGTGATGAAGGGTGCCTGGGGGTAGTATGTTAGATTGGTGATCCCGAAGGCCTCTCAGAGGTGACACTGGAGCAAAGATCTTAACATCTTAACGACAAGAAGGAACCAGCCACGGGAGTCTGGGGACAGAGTCTTCCAAAGAGGAAGAGTAAGTGCAAAGGGGGACGGGGGCAGGCCACCCTTGGTCAGGAGCAGAGAAAAGAAAGACCCTAGAGGCTGCAGAGTGAGGAAGTAGGCAGGTGGGGGCAGAGAGTGGAGGAGCCGGGAGCCAGGTCACACAGGAAGGAGTTTGGTTTTGATTCTAAAGGCAATGGGAAACTGTTCTAGGATTTTAAGCAAGGACATGATATGATGTGATTTATATCAAAAATTAAGAACTGATTCTACTGTGTGGAGAGAAGTGGGGTGATTTAGGATTTATTTTCGGGGAGATCCAACAGGCTTCGGTGATCCAGTTCAGCTTTTTGCCCTTCCTTATGATTACAAAGTAGGAAAATAGAAAACTAACAGGACTATCACCATCGGAAATTTCACGGCAGTTTAAAAACTTATTTTTGATTAAAAATGTCGTATAAGGGCTTCCCTGGTGGCGCAGCGGTTGAGAGTCCGCCTGCCGATGCAGGGGACGCGGGTTCGTGCCCCGGTCCGGGAAGATCCCACATGCTGCGGAGCGGCTGGGCCCGTGAGCCATGGCCACTGAGCCTGCGCGTCCGGAGCCTGTGCTCCGCAACGGGAGAGGCCACAACAGTGAGAGGCCCGTGTACCGCAAAAAAAAAAAAAAAAAGTCGTATAAGGTCACTGTCAAAAACTTGCAGGAAAACAGAAAAAGGAAGTTAAAATCGCGTCACACAGTTTGCGAAGGGCCAGGGCTTTGGGAGGGAGCCTCAGTTCCTCTGCGGCCAAGGGAGTCTTGGAGGACGCCCAGCCAGGCCGGTTCCGCGGGAAGCCACCACGCACCCCCTCGACCTCAGCGGGGCCTGTTTGCGCAGGCGCACGGGGCGGAGTCAGCGCGAGGGGCGGAGCTTCAGGAAGGAGCCGTTGTCTCTTAGCCGACATCGGAGAGAGCGGATGGGGAGACCAGCGGCCCGAAGACAGAGTCGGAGGCAGAGCGCGCTGCAGCCATGCAGGCGGCAGAGGCGGACGCAGGCGCAGGCAGGATGGCGGGCGGCGCTGAAGGCCTGGACAGCCAGGGGGGCAGCGGGGGCAGGGGGGACCGGGGCGGCCCTCGCAGCGAGGGTGCTGCTGCCGCTGCAAACGACGGAGCTCTGTGTGCCGCGCCGGCACAGCACTCTCCGGGGCCGGGCGGACACCCCGCGTCCACAGCCAGAAGGCCGGGAAGCCGGCCACACGTATTGTATCCTACCCGAGGGCGGAGCGGGAAATGGGCTGCAGGCTGCGTGCGGTGGGAGGTGGGACAGAGGGACGCACGAGTCAGGGGCAGCCTGGGAGCGAAGGGGAGAAGGGGGAGTCAGGGGCTGCTGCGGGGTGGTCTTGAGCGGGAGAAATAAGAGCAGAAGGAAAGCCGGGGCGCCTGGGGGCGAAGAAATGAGAGCACGGGGCAGCGGGGCGGCTTGGGTGGATTAGGGCCAGGCGTGGTCTGGGGGGCTGGAAGCAGTTCTGAAAGGGGTGAGGCTGGTCAGGGTGCCCTGAGACAGGGCCCAAAGCACCAGATCCGTGTGGATGTTGCCTTAACCGAATCTCCATCAGCGCCCTAAGTGTGCCTTTCCCGTCCACCTTGGAGGCGGAGATCGCCCGTGGGTCCCTGGCCCCAGATGCCGAACTGCACCATGGGGCTGTTGGGAAGGAGCTCACAGTAAGCGGCAGAGTCCTGGCGGTGTAAGTTCTAGAAAGGGCTACTTGGGAGTGGCAGCAGGTGGCCGGGCCAGTCTCCCCCAAGGGCGCTCTATTGGAGACTCGGAGATACTCCAGGGTTGGATCTAGGGAGGTGACACGGTGCACTGGACCCATCTCCGCCCCAGCGGGCACTCCAATGGAGATGGCAGCGGCTTCGGTGTCATAGAGGGGCAGAGCCAGAGAGGGACTGGAGGGGTTGCTACCATCACCTTGATTTTCTTTTTCCATCACTTTTAGCCACTGGAGAGCTGAAGATTCCCACCTCCTCCAAATTTCCATCGTCAACTTTCTTGACCAGCTTTCTCTGGTGATACGGACCATGCAGCGCTTTGGGCCCCCTGTTGCACGCTAAGCCAGGGCTAGAGAAGGGGATTAAGGTCTAAACTTGTGTCCCTTCCTAGACAGTGCATCCCTCCTAGGGCAGTGATTTCTGTAGTAGTTGCCACTTTATTATGGGGGCCTCATCTTTTGCCTCTACTGGCCCTTGCGTGCTGAGGGTTCACTTACTTTGTTTGGTGCTTAAATGTTTCTTAACTACTGAAAATAAAACTGAGCTATGGGGCTTCCCTGGTGGCGCAGTGGTTGAGAATCTGCCTGCTAATGCAGGGGACACGGGTTCCAGCCCTGGTCTGGGAAGATCCCACATGCCGCGGAGCAACTGGGCCCGTGAGCCACAACTACTGAGCCTGCACGTCTGGAGCCTGTGCTCCACAACAAGAGAGGCCGCGAGAGAGGCCCGTGCACCACGATGAAGAATGGCCCCCGCCTGCCACAACTAGAGAAAGCCCTGGCACAGAAACGAAGACCCAACAAAGCAAAAATAAATTAATTAATTAATAAAACTCCTACCCCCAACATCTTTAAAAACAAAAAACAAAAACTGAGCTACGATGCTATGTCTGACTTTATTTTCAACTACAGCACCTTTAAATATTCTTGCCTCTGTCCTTAAATTGGAGGGGAGGTTCTGTGATTCAGATATTCAAGTAGTACAATGCAACTGAAGACAGTTTAAGAAATGGAAGAGGATAGGTCCTGTCTGTCATTCAGTATTAACTACTGTCAACATTTTGGAATATTTTCTTAGTTTTATAGTGGTATTTATGTAGTAAATGTGTAACAGTAATAATATTTTGCAAGTTTAGCATTTTTCCTCATATTTTTCATCTAACATGAACCTTTTTCTAAAAATTCTTCAAAAGCATTATTGAATGGATACATAAAAGATACTTATTGAATGTTTGAATTATTTTCAATTTTTGCCATATTATATAGGTAATGATTCAGTGGAATGCTGGTATGTAGAGCTTTGCCTGAGTGATTGTTTTCTTAAGATAGACTACAAGAGGTAAATTGGTTAAATATGTGAAGCTCTCACGCTGCAGTGTGTGAAATTGCTCTCCAAATTGTACAGAAAGTGTACCCTCCCACCAGAACGCTGGTTTCTCACATCCTTGTCACTACTGGGTCTGCTCGGTAAAATTTTTTTAAAAACTGGGTTTGTATGACAAGAGCAAACAGCCGAGAAACACTCGAATAGGAGCTTTGTGGCTTACTGGCCTTGTCTCAGATCAGTGAAGAAAAAGTGCTAGGACAGTCATTCAAGCCTTTAGTTAGGAGGAGTTAGCTTCCTGTAAAAGGTGGTGTATCCCGCAGCCTTTCTGAGCTCACTTATATTCTAGTAGCTCTTTGGTAGATGCCGTTGGATTTTCATCGTTGATCACGTTTTCTCAGAATAAAGGCAGTTTTGCTTCTTCCTTTCCAATCTGCGTGCCTTTCAGTGATGAACTTTTCTCCTGGTTAAGGATTGGATTTGGCTGACTCTGTACCCCTGGTAGTTTCTTCTTCAGTGTCAGACGTTTGGCCTTTTTCCCTGGGTGCTGGGTATCTTTGTACTCCTAGACTTATTTTTTGAGCTCTGTTCTGGGATGCTGTTAGGTTACTGGGGACAGATCCTTTTGAGTCTTGCTTTGAAGATGTGCTGTGTGGGACCAGAGCAGCTTTCAGTGTAGGGTTCACTTTTTTTTTTTTTTTAGTTTTTGGCCGCACCCCGTGGCATGTGGAATCTCAGTTCCCCGACCAGGGATCGAACCCGCACCTCCTGCATTGGAAGTGTGGAGTTCTAACCACTGGACCGCCAGGCAAGTCCCATAGGATTCATTTTTTTCCCACACTACTGAGGCGCGAGCCTTCTGAGCCCCCTTCAGGATGCCTCCCCAATTATGAGGTTTGCATTCTGGCCGGTGCGGACCGCCAGTCCCTGTCCTGCTCGAGCGCTGGGCAGACTCACCTTCCATCCTTTGGGTGGCCCTGTCCCCCGCCTCGCAGAGTTCCCTTCCACACTGATGCTGCTCAGTGGTCCTCGGCGCGCTCCAATGGACCCTCCGCCCTTGGGCACGGTTCTCTCCCTGTGCCTCTGTGTCCTCTCCTGTCCTCCACCCGCCAACTCCGGCTGAGTGCGCTCTGCGATCCACCCCCGAGACCCGGGGAGGCGGCTGGACTCGGTCCGGAGAGTCCGTGTAGACAGCAAGCTGGGGAAGCTGCGCGGCTCACCTCTTCGGGGTCTCAGCTCCCAGAGATCCCTGACGGTCCTCCCTCACCTGAGGCCCAGTTTCTTCACAGCCTGTGTTTCATATATTTTGGCTGCATTTAGGGGATTCTTTCAAGCCAGTGCGGGGGAGATCCGGTCCCTGTTCCTGCATGTGCGTGAACGGAGTCTGCCGGCACAGAACCCAGAGAGCTCTGGCAGCGTGGGCTGGAGGGAGGGAGATGCTGGTGCTGGGGATGGTGGCGGTGGGCGTGGCGATGACGGTGATGATGGAGCGTCTCCCCCGCCAGCACGCAGCAGCTCTGGTGGCTACAGCAAGGGTCTTTGTCTTTCTTCCCTTTTTAAAAACCATTTTTAAGACTTTAATTATCGATGGGGAGATGAGAATTGAGCACTTTCACGCCACTGTCCCTCTGCCTCCTCCCCAAATGGTTCTATTCTACTCACTCCAGAAACTGTGCCCTCCCACCACAATTCTGGTTTCCCCACATCTATGTCACCATTAGGTTAGTGTCCCGCAAAAATTAAAAACTGAGCGTGTGTGAGAGGAGCAAACAACCCAGAAGCACTAGGCTAGGAATTTTGCAGTTCACTGGCTTTGTTTCAGATCAGTGAAGAAAACTGCTGGCGCACCTGGCTCAGGGTCTGGGCAGGGGGAGTTAGCTCCCTCTAAAATACCCTGCGATCATGGGAGTTTTACTTCTTCCTTTCCAATCTGGTTGCCTTTTATTGATTGCTCTATCTATCCCCTTCTAATGGGCTGGTCTTTACTTACGCTTTTCATGCCAAGTGGTTTTGCTTGGATAGCAGACCTTGTGTGCTTTCCCTTGGGTGCTGGCTACTTTTGTGTCCGTAAACATACTCGAACTTTGTTCTCAGGTGCTGCGGTTATTCGGAGACAATTTGATTCTTTAGAATCTTGCTTCTAAGATTTGCTACAGGGCGCTAGAGCAGCTTCTACTGTAGAATTAATTGTTTTCCCGCTACTGAGGCAAGACCCTTCTGAGTGCCCTCCCTCAGGCCTCTTGAATTCCGAGGTTTCCATCCTGGCCAGTGGGGACAGGTGCTCATCCAGGGCCTGCTTGAGCCCTGAGCATAGTTCCCTGTAGTCCTTCCTGGCAGCCCTTTCCCAGGCCCGGGGCGGCTTCCTCACACACTTGTGCCGATCAGCACCCCGTGATACTCCAGGGGGACCCTCTGCAGATCCCCACGATCCTCTCTGCCGGCAGCTCCCGAGCTATAGTACCCCAGGCCCTAGGGCCCGACGTCAGTCTGATTCTCCCTCCCTCACCCAGCAAAGCCCAGAATCAGCCTACTGCCTTGGCCTGACAGGTGAACTGGTGAAGCTGCCAGGTTGCTTTAAAACATAAGTCAGATTGCGTCACTCTTCTGTTAAAAAGAATCTCCAAAAGGGACTCTTAGGGACAAAGCCAAAGAACTTACAGTGGCCTGAAAAGCCAGATGTGAGGGACTTCCCTGGTGGCGCAGTGGTTGAGAATCCACCTGCCAATGCAGGGGACACGGGTTCAATCCGTGGTCCGGGAACATCCCACATGCCACGGAGCAGCTAAGCCCATGTGCCACAACTACTGAGCCCGCGTGCCACAACTACTGAAGTCTGCGCGCCTAGAGCCCAAGCTCTGCAAGAGAAGCCACCGCAATGAGAAGCCTGTGCACTGCAACGAAGAGTAGCTTCCGCTCGCCACAACTAGAGAAAGACTGCGCGCAGCAACAAAGACCCAACAACGAGGATCCAGTGCAGCCAAAAAAAAAAAAACGCCAGATGTAATCCAGCCCGTTTCCTCTCCAATATTCTCCACTCCCACCCTTTCGTTTGCTCATCTTGGTTCAGCCTCACTGGCTTCCTTAACTGTTCAAAAATGCCAGGCCAGGGGCTTCCCTGGTGGCTCAGTGGTTAAGAATCCGCCTGCCAAAAAAAAAAGAATCCGCCTGCCAATGCCGGGGACATGGGTTCGAGCCCTGGTCCGGGAAGATCGCACGTGCCGCAGAGCAACTAAGCCCGTGCGCCACAGCTACTGAGCCTGTGCTCTAGAGCCTGCGAGCCACAACTACTGAAGCCCGCGTGCCTAGAGCCTATGCTCCGCGACAAGAGAAGCCACCGCAATGAGAAGCCTGCACACCGCAAGGAAGAGTAGCCCCCACTCGCCGCAACTAGAGAAAGCCCGTGAGCAGCAACAAAGACCCAACACAGCCAAAAATATAAATAAATGTTTATTAAAAAAAACCAAAAACATGCCAGGCTGGCTCCTGCCTCAAGTAAGTTTATTGGGGTTTTTTTTTTTGTTTGTTTTGTTTTTTGCGGTACGCGGGCCTCTCACTGTTGTGGCCTCTCCCGTTGCGGAGCACAGGCTCCGGACGCGCAGGCTCAGCGGCCATGGCTCACGGGCCCAGCCGCTCCGCGGCATGTGGGATCTTCCCAGACCGGGGCGCAAACCCGTGTCCCCTGCATCGGCAGGCGGACTCTCAACCACTGCGCCACCAGGGAAGCCCTCAAGTAAGTTTATTAAAAAAAAAAAAAAAAACATGCCAGGCTGGCTACTGCCTCAAGGCCTTTGCACTGGTTCTCTTCAGTCTGGAACCCTCTTCCTCTGGGGATCCCTCTGACTCACCCGGAAATCATTCCTGACCGCTCTATTTAACATCGCATCCTGCTTTCTCCCCACCCGGCTTACTTGAACAGGTGCGTGGCACAAGAGGGTGAGAGGCAGGAGGGAGGTAGGAGCACAGTGATTGCAGTGCACTTGGGACAGTAGAGTTGTCAGATATGAAGGCGTTTGGGGGCCATGAAGCCCTGGATGGTTTTGAACAGAGTGGGGACAAGGTCCACCGTGTATGTTAAGAGGGAGGGTCCCAGTGCCTCCCAAGCTGAGAAGAGGCTGAGGGCGGCCAGGGCAGAAATGGGGACCCTGGCATCCAGGCAAGCAACAAGGGCGGCTTGGACCAGTTGGGGGCAGTGGAGGTGGGGAGAAGGGCGCGGATTCTGCATGTGTCTTG